AATCAGCTCTTAACATATCGGTCAAAGATATTTGTCCTCCACCTTCAGTCGCTGATATTCAGTCAATGCAACGGAGGGTTAGAAAACGTGGAAAAACAGGAACGTTGAATTCTACACCAGAACTTGATGAGCTCAAAGCAACAGCTGCTCAAAAGGCAGTCAAATTAAGAAAAACTTGTGCAAGAGCAGCGAAACGACAAGTTTTCGTAAATAAGAAGGATCTTGCAAGTGACGACAGTGATGAGGAAAATCAAGCGGTTGTTGACAAATATCTGGAACAAGAAAATTCGGACGACGCCGCATGCCTCTATTGTAATGAACTTTATTCACAATCAAAATCTAGGGAAAAGTGGATTCAGTGTCAAGTCTGTAGCTCTTGGTGCCACAATGATTGTGCGGGAGTTAGCCCTAGGTGCAAGTTGTTTGTTTGTGAACTGTGTCAATGAATGCCTAAAGTAGAATTCATGTTATTCTCCTGTTTGTATTGTTTACTTTTGTGGTTTTTCTATTTTATTTTTTTCTGAGAACTATGTACAATTTATTTTGCTCTAGTCTTTATTTTGGGGTTTGTGTTAAAGAATGCGATCTCTTAGTTTTTTGGTATAAAAGTTTTTCAATAAAATATTAGAAACAAAATGTTCTCTCATTATTTCTCATAAATATTCTCAGTGGTCCAACATAGGAACACTCCGGGGTCCATCAAAGGAATGTATGCTCCTATGATGGACCCCTCAAATTGATTTTTAAAAATGACCGTCAAAAAGTAATTCATGAAACTAATCAAGAATACAATGCAGGTTTTGAAAGCCCTTATCAAGACCCGTAAAATGAACTGAAGTGATCCACAAAAAAATCATAAATATAAAAATTATGAGGCATTATTCTTAAGGGGGCCATCATCGGCATACTTCCCCTACTTGTAATTAAAATAATGCATGTACATTAAAAAATGTTGTTATTCTTCTTTTCAGATGGAAATGATGGATTTTTTTTCTATTTTCTAAGTTTATTTGTTAGAATTTAAGTTTATTTGGTATTTCTTCCAAAGAATTTATTTATTTATTTCTATACGCTAATGAAATGTTGACTTTTTTCCTATAATATTGCATTGTATGACCTAAATATTAACATTTTAGATATTTTTATAAAAATGCATTTTTATTTTCAAAGATTTATGAGGAATGTACCTTATATAATATATCTATGATTTTTTCGATGAAACCTCAATTTGTTTGAAATTTTAGTCCTCCAGAAACGCTTCGATTCCTACTACCAAGAAAAACGAACAGCAGAAAAAAATTGTTGTGTCATACCAAGTTGCAGAAAAAGTAAAATTCGATTTTTGGAATTATTTACTAGCATTCCGGTATATAATATTACAACCATGTATAAAGTTATGGCCCTGTGATGAAAATCCATCAAATATACTGTAAAGGACCAATCAGGACCATAAAATTTGAGGAAGTATACCCAGCGTTGGCCCAATGTAATGATTCAGACGTTGAATCGGCCCAACGTTGGTTCATACTGTCGGCCGACTTGCGGCTCGACTGTCGGCCGGGCGGTCATATACGATCCGGACCAGTACTTTTTTCAATTAGTTGGGCAGATGCCTGTTATCCGGCAAAGAGGCATTCGTACGATGCTGGGCCGTAAGAAATGTGTTTGTTGGGAGCATACCTGCGTCTGGAGAGGACACGATTCTCTCTAAATTACTATGCGCCATCTCTGTATAACAGACTGCCGGTTCAGTATAGGGACATGCCTGAGAGTAGGTTTAAGGTGTCAATTAAAAGATTCTTGATTGAAAGAACCTTCTATAGCATTGATGAATTTTTGCAGTGGAATTTCGTATAGAATGTAGGATAAAGATTGTTTTTTTAACGTGTTTTTTGTGAAATGTTTTTTAGGAATTTTATCTTGTTAGTTTTAGCAATCTGTAGGTTAATAGTTAATAGTGTAGAAATTTTAATGTGTTTTAATGTAACTACTTAAAAACTGGTCTGTATATGACATTGTATGACGTGAGTAAAAAACTTTGGTGATTTAATTTAACTTGAAATATATTTGATTTGATTTGATTTGCACTTGTATCTATCTCCGAGTAACCGATTCTGATCAGGTTGTCCCATGTTAAATTACTGATTTCAAAAAGTCGTGTAGCGCCAGTTAAGTCCCAACTTAGTGCAGCAATTCTTCTGGCAAAAACACTTTCAAAAGTTCCTTAACCATGAAAATTGACAATTGCTTTATGTGGAACTATTCCACTACTATTCTTTGGTGTATTCGAACACCCCCGCATACATTGCAAACCTTTGTTGGAAACCGAGTAGGTAGTACAAATCCAGTCCTTGACAGATTCTGAAAATTGGCATCAGACTCAAATCCAGCTGATTGTCTTTCTTGGGGTTCATCCCCAAAGCAACTTTTACACTCAAACATTTGGATTAACGGACCTCCCTAGTTAAAACAAAACAAAGACGTTTGGCCTCTGGATGTTTCAAGATTAAATCCATTCCCTCATAACAAACTTCCAGAAACAAGAAAACAAGATAAATGTTTCATCCAAGTCAATATGCAACAGTGGTTTAATTCCGTTCCAAAAATTCTCATCTTTACCCAAATTCAAAAGAACACTAGCATTTATTCTCATGTAGTGACGCGGAAATAAACCACCAAGAAAACAATTAAAGGTTCTGATTTATTCTAAACAACTAAAGTCCTAGGATCCAACTACCGAAAATTAATCAAGAATAACAAGAACCTACCAAACAACCATCCCAGGAGAGATCATCACTTAGACAGCACAACCAGAAACTTCAATTAAAAATTATCTGAACATCGATATCCAGAAATTATCAAAAGCCGCGATACCCTATATTGACTAATACATTGGAATGTGAATAAAGCAAAAGTTCATGAACCTTTTTTTTTAAGTGTTTTCAACAATTAACATTCCAAAGGAGCCGAAAAATTTCTTTAAGGATCAATAAATCATGCACGAGCCTATATGATGATACCCACTTAACAAACCACTTAGCGACACCCTTGAGAATTAATTAAAAGGGGACCAAATACACTAATTGATCGGATGATTCAACCACGAAAAATCGAGGTCAGAAAAAATAAAGAAATTCAAGACAATGGAGGGACCAATGATATAAAAAGGCAACTTTGGCAGGAGAAAATCAGTGTTCGAGAAAGAGTGAGTAAACCGGCAGAACTATGGCGTGAAGGACCAGTGTCGATTGAGTAATCAAGAAACAAGTAGTAATCGATAATCGAGAGACCTGTGTCCAGAAAGTCAGAACTACGGCGTGAAAGAGTTGTCGAATTAACCGAGAAAAGAAGCACGACGTGAAATAACAGCGCAAAAATATTCGAGTTTTTTATTAAGTGTTCATAATTAAAGTAAAATCCTTCGACCAATAAGATTTCCATGTAATTAGGTGTGGCTAGCAGTAAATATATTATTGTTAAATGTAAGTAGAGTTTTTTTGTGTCCAGCCAGAAATTGTGAAGGCAAGAGTGTGAATCGAGTCAAACTGTAAATAAAAATTTTTACTTGGAATCATATAAATTTTCCTTAACAGAAATTTAACAATTTTATTGTAAAATTATTACCGACGCCTGTTATTAATAACAAGCATTATTTATTTTAATAAAATAAACTTTATTTTAATTGACCACAATATTTCTGTGTTTCACTCTTCACCTGCAAATAGGACCCATTTTAAACTGTGTCTCTACTCAGAAACTAAAGTCACCGCTCGCCAATTTAACATCTTGCCAAGTTTCTGAATTTGGGGTCTAACACTTAGGTTCATTCACAATATTAGAAAACCCAAAACCAAAAAACTTAGGACCCCAACGTTGGATGAATTAGCTCAATCTATGAACGCATTGGTTAAGATAGCTCAACAAGAGTCTTTCCCTTTAGAGCTGCAAAAACTCGAAAGGTCAGAATATGTTGGCCATAAGAGCAAACTTCAAAGTTTAACACCTTTTCTTGAAAATGGAATCATAAGAGTAGCAGGGAGATTGAAAAACTCGTATTATTCCTACGACAAAAAGCACCCAATAGTTCTTCCGGCTAAACATAAATTGACCCACCTCATTTTTAAACTTAATCATGTCCAACTTTTGCATTGTGGGACTCAACACTTCTGTCACATGTTCGAGAATCTTACTGGGCAATTTCCGGGAAAAGTCTTGCTAAACGTAGAGTCTTTGTTTCCACTAATGGGCAATTTCCTGAGCAGCATATCAACCCAAGAGCACCTTTCACTGATGTCGGCGTAGATTATGCAGGACTTTTTTTGATCAAAGATCGGAAAGGGCGTGGTTCCATGCCAGCTTGCCTATCATTTCTATTGAGTGGTCTTTTAATGCTCGTTTAGTGAGGCATACAAAAGAATTGGCTTTTTTGGCAATCTTTGAAATGTGGTTCTATCATTTTGAGTCCGAAATTATCATGACTTCTAGGTCATTTTGATTTGTCACAGACACACACACAGCACAGACACAAAGTCACAGATTGTAATGTCATATTGTTTAGTTCGTATTCTTAATTTTCATCGAAATTCAATTTCAAAGTAGGTACTTATATCAAAATTGAATATTTACAATTTCAAGGAAAAATTCGTGATTTGCAGTTATGATTAGGTATACTAGACTTTAGTATCCCTTTCAGAAATACGTATCTACTTCCTTATTTTTTGATATGTCGCAATACTGATAATAAAATTCCATTCCTTGCCAATCAGCATAATAAAAATTTCAACATAATCGCCAAATAATAGGTATATTATCAACTTAATGGCATACATTATGCTAACTTATCTTTATTACTTTTATTCAATCATTATCTATTAAAATTTTCCTGTAGTTAAACTTTATGCTTTGTTGCACTCAAATGGCTTCTCAGTAATTTTGCTTTATTTGTGATTTTTCACACTTAATGAGTTTCTATGTCGCATAATAATATAATGTTTTTATTTTATTTCAGATCATGTAACTTACCTCAACCAAACAAACATCAAAATGGAACGAGTATTCAAAATCAAAACTAAATCTCAGCCAGATTTGTCCAACCAGTACCCATCAGAAAGAAGGTACTCTGCTTCCATTGTCCTTGGACTCAGTGCTCTGCTTCTTCAGTTCAGTTTATGTTCGGTTTTGATGGGAGGCCTAATTCTACATAAAATGTCAGTGTTAGCTGAAATCAACATTGACGAAGTAGCTTATAGAAGGCTTAGTGAAAAATTGGAAAGAGACATGCAATACACTGATCAAACTTATCTTTATTATTACATAAATATTCCAGCTTCAATAGCCGCAGGATGTTTTATGATGGCTTTTGGAAATCTTTTGGCCTTCACAACAGGGCTTTTTGCTTGGAAACGTTGGTATATTGATCACAACATCACCTTCTTTTTTTTATCATGCAGCTTTTCTACACTAACATCTTTTCTTTCGTTGATCGTATCAGTTGCGACAAGCTGCAACATAAAATTCGATAGTTACGAAGAATATGAAAAAGGTGTCCAAGACTTATCACCAATCTCATTACCTCTTGCTATAAATATTATAATGCTATCACTGATAAGTACCATATGGGCATTTTTGGCTACAAAAATATCTTACAAAGGCATGAGAAATTCATATCCGGACGATATGGTGAAGAAGGGAAGGGTTCAAGTCAGCACTATCAGGAAAGGATGTCAAAACAACATCAGCAACATACCGATAGAAGTTTTGAATAACTTTGCAATTGGAAAAATGGCCAAGTACCTACCAAAGAAGGAAAATAAAGACTTACCGAAACAAGAAAGCAATGCGGAATATCAGCAAAGGGTTAACAAATTTTTGGACGGTGAACCGGAAATGGAACAGAACGAGGCAGAAGAAAAAGTTAAGGCTGAGAAAAAAGTTTGAATTAGTGTCTGTGTGGTCACTTGAAACGTTTCCCTGTGATAAATTTTTTCAACGAAAAATAACATTAACGACTGAATTTTTGTTGGTCAGTAGATTTAAGATTTGTTTTGTCTAAAATAGGCATTGTACTTTAACATAATTATTTCATATCGAGTTGAATCACTAATAAATTATTGTGTGTTTCTCAGTTATATCAACAGTTCATTGTAGGAGGGCCTCAATACCTCAATTATTTAAAGATAGATTGGTTCTCTGTTGCAATCTTGCTCAGTTTCATATTATGAACCTCTTAGATTTTAATTTAAGAGAAATGTACTTAAAAATATAATAAAAAGTAAATGTATAAATTTTAATGATTTTAAGTAACACACCACTTGGCACTTACCATCTAAACAAATTGGGGTAGAAAATGAAATAAGACACCAAAATGATGATTCAGTAAGTTGGGTATATTTCCATATGTTGGTACAAAATAACTAAATTCTAGGAAAAAAAAAACATTATGGCTAAAACCCATAAAAAAATCATTGTAACAAGTACTACAAAAAACATAATATAACACAGTTTATATAAATACAAAATAAAATAATACTAATTGAAACCAAAACAGAGTTAAGAAGTGCAATTTATGAATAACTCCAAGGAATCAGGAATTTAGTTTAACTACAATAAATTCGTTAATAAGTGTAGTTAGCATTGAAAATCCTAAATTATGCATGCACAGGCTATTTCAAGACTAAAACCTAAATTTGGACGCTAGGGTTTCCTAATAGTAGTCCCACGATAGGACCATAACATTCAATAAATAGTTTCGAATTAAGTCATGGAATAAATATCACTGTCCAGCAGAAAGGTTAAATTACTGGGCAGGCGGTAAGGGCCATAAGGCATGATCCACCTTCCGGCCTGACATTAATTCATTCCAAATATGGCGCCATTTTATCAGCCTTTCTTCATAGTATTCAGGAGTTGCTTCTGGATTTGGATCCACATCGTCACTATTGTTGTTTGAAACTATATCTGAAACAAATAGATAATAAATTATACAATTTTACAAATAGAAGGTTTTGAGAGGATCGTCACTACTTAATCTCAATAACTACTATAAGGGAATGCTTTATTATCTACAGTTAAGTGAAATTATTGGAGGATTTTTCGAGTGTTGGAGCTTTGGCGAAACACTTGTGTTTTCCAAAAATCCTCTAATAACTTGGATTTGATATAGTGTCAAATATTTTTCGAGAATTTATTTTCGAAAAACTGAAATTATTGGAGATGAAAAACCTCAGGTTCTACGCAGGTTCCTCAAAGTTGAATGAAATTTAAAATAGGCCTTGACCAAAATGTTTCTGTTTTTAGTTGGACACACACAGTTAGTCTTTGTTTAGTAGAAGCAATTTAATGTTAAACGTTCCAAATTCTAAGCCCTTTTTCACATCTCCCCACCTGTTTACAACCAACAAGGTACAACGAATACACAACAACAATAAAATGTAAAGCTGCGTATACATACATTACTCACCGCAATTTGTCGCGAATTTCCTTTCCAATTCGATTTCCTTCAGGCCGCTCCTGATATAGTCTTGGAAAAATTTACTCGATTTACCTAAGAACGGCTCAATGTCAGACTCGGGGTGCTGTTGCAAGAAATTGAACAGTAAATTCAGGCCTTCTTTAGTATCCTCTTTGCTGCCAATTTTTTGGAATATTTCCGTCAACATGTTATGGTTTGCTCGAGAAAATGAAGAAGGAACAGACGAGTTACTTCTTTGAGATTGTAGAGGGACGTCCTGGGTTTGGGCAATTTTAAGACTCTTAAAAAAAAAGTTTCAATTGAATTCCATTGATAAACAAAAACAATTTAAAAAATACCTTTAATAATCGTAAAATATACGACTCAATTTCAGATTCGGCAAGATTAGGTATCTTACTTAAAAGCTGTACAGAGGCGGCACCTTTTATTTTAACCGTCGAATGTAATATGGTTTTGATGGTCCTCAAAGGCATATCGCCGCGTGCTGAATTCGTCCACCACTTTGGTGGAAATCTGTTCAAAAACTCGTGCACTTCTAACAAAACTAGTTCGTAGTCAATATTGTCACCCCAATTTGGCAGTAGCTTGATCACTTTCCAAAGACATTTCATAACTAGATCAACTTGTCTTTGGGAGCAGTTTTCATTTGTTATGCACTCGGTGAGCAGTTTAACTAATGCACTAGAAAAGTCATTGGTGAAAAGAAATCATTACATTATTTTCATAGTCACTTACCACAAAAGAGCAGTATGGTCTGATTGTTCGATAATCTTAACGCAATTCAAGTTTATCACTCTGGTGAAATATTCTCCGCTCTTTTCCAAGTTCTCTTCCACCAACAAAATAATTAGATGATTTAACAATCGCTTCAACAGGCCAGTGGGTACAGCTTTGCCTAGCTGAGACTTTTGGTAAAACTAAAGGGGAAACTTAAATCAGTTATTTTTGAGAACAATAAATCGAATTAACTTACCATATCTATACTCATAAACAAATCCCGATAAATTCTAGCAACTGCCGAATTGCTGACAGGGTCCAAGGTGTGAAGGTAATCAAACAGCGAAAGTAACGCTTCGAAAAATTCCGCTTCATACTCTTGGAAAGCTTGAATTTTGACGGGGCTGTTCATGAGTTCATTAAATTGTGTTAAACCCTAAAAACATTTAAAAGAAAATAAAAAGAGTCCCAGTCTTAAACAATTCTATATCTCTTACTTGTAAAGCATTTGCAGGATTTCGTGAACCAATTAGTTTAATGGTCTTCTGGATATCTGGATCTGTAGTGGTCAAACCTTGATGGACGTTGTACCTGTTCGCAATGATTGGTTTTGGAGGCGATAATGGCATGATTCTATAGAGCAAAAAATATTTTTTTAATTTCGGGACTAATTTGTGCATTTTACTCTCTACGAAGAGCGAATATTTTTGGAATAAACTGGATTTAAATTTCAATTTGATTCCCTTGTCATTAACCCTTATAATGCAAACCATCCATTAAGGCTTTGAAATGTTTATTTCAACTTAAAGTGATGTAGGATGTCATTGTGTAGGATAAACATAGTGATTATTGTAAATATTGCTGTAAATGAACATTATTATTATTATTATTATTATTATTATTATTAATAATATTATTATTATTATTATTATTATTTTCGAAATTTCACATTAGCTATTACTTCTTATGGTTTTTCATGGTGCAAAAGTCATTGAGTGCACAGCATGCACCTAGGATGAATTTTTGTTGTCTGATGGTCTGTTGAAATGACCTCTGTTCTTCTTGAACTAGTTCACCTAGTGTCTTCATATAACCTTTCGCACAATGTGTGCTGTTTCCAACAGGACAGATTTTTGTAAACTCAAGAGATAGTGTTTTCCTGGGATATCTTTCATGGCTACAAACGTGTGTCCAGTTACTCCTATGATCACTGGGACAATTTTGGTCTTCATATTCCACATTCTCTCAATCTCTATTTTGAGGTCCTTAATTGAGCGGTCTGTTTGGATTTGTGTAACCCATATCAAGGCCATCCCATTTTTTTGCACTACAGGATCTGGCTTGTGCTCGAACCATGCATCTGTCTGAAACTTTGATTTCATAGTATTTGCAGATCTCCCAGTGTAGGTGAGTGGCTACTGCATTATAGCGTTCCAAAGATTCCTTTTTTGCCAGAATCAAGCAACCTGACATGGTCAGATATAAGCATTATTTCATGTGAAAATCCTTTATTAAAATTGGATAAACCACATCCCGCATTGGAGTTTAGTGTGGAATTAAGCAAATCGGTTACATAGTTGTGGAACATTTTTACACACACTTATATAATGCAATTAGCATATCAACTCCATTAAATAGACACAAAAATCCAAAATTTCCAAAATGGATGGACGAGAACTTGAAAAACTTTATTTTAAATAATAAAGCAGCTCACAAAACTTATAAATCAACACTTTTGCTTAGTGACTATCAAGAATTTTCTGATTCACGTATTCAATGTCGAAAGTATGCCCCAGACAGTCATCGAAATTACATTAATAACCTAGAAGATCAAATACAGGACAGAGAAAGTTTTTGGAATTATATAAACTCTAAGAAAAACACTAAAGGTATTCCCTGCAATATGGTGCTTGGTGATCAGAAAGATGATACACTTCAAGCTATAGCTGAGTTGTTCGGGCAGCAATTTTCTTCAATTTATACTGCCTATGATCCTAAAAACTTAGATTTGTCATATGATCTAACAGTCAACTTAGGTTAGGTAAAATCAAAATTGATATAATGGATGTTTATAACAAAATTTCACAATTGAAGCCTAAATTGGGGTGTGGACCAGATGGTATTCCGGTTTATTTTATGAAAAATTGTATCTGTTTTCTGTCTTACATTTTAACTAAAATCTTTAATCAATCACTAGCTCTCGGAATTTTCCCAAATATGTGGAAAACAAGTCATGTAACCCCTATTTTCAAAAGCGGAGATACAAGTAACATTCTCAACTACAGGCCAATTCCAAAAATTTCATTATTTTCAAAGATTTTTGAAGCAATTATCACTGATAAAATAACACCATTTTTCAAGAATATATTATTCATATCAGAGCAACATGATTTTGTGAAAGGGAAGTCTATGGTATCGAAAACAGGCTGTTGGGTGCCTTGGAGGAGGGGTATCAGGTGGATGTTATTTATACCAATTTCTCCAAGGCATTTGATAGAGTTGATCATTCTATTCTTTCTCAGAAACTAACTGCTATAGGTTTCCACGGAATTTTATATAAATGGCTCTTGAATCATTTAACAGACAGAAAACAGAAGGTTAAAATTGAGAATTATCTTTCTTCAGATATTAATGTTACCTCTGGCGTTCCCCAAGGGGGACACCTATCACCGCTTCTTTTTAATATTTTTCTGAATGATGTAAAAAACATATTCAAAGGTTGTAATTTCTTAAATTTTGCTGATAATAATAAAAATTTTCGAATTGTGAAAAAACTGGACGACTGTCACATTCTTCAGGATGAGTAAGACCACTTTTCTCAGTGGTGTTACATAAATAACTTGGCTTAAAATGTTGGTAAATGTAAGATTATGTCATTCAACCGCAATAAAAATCCTTTTATTTTTGATTATGTTATTGATGGGAACAACCTTGAGAGGGTATATGTTATTAGGGATCTTGGTGTTTTTCTTGATGTTGAGTTGAACTTTAATGAACATATTGAAAAATATCAAATTGAGCTATGAAACTGTTCGGCTCTGTCCTGCATAATCTTGGAGATATCAATAATTTATACACCATTCGTAATGTTTATTCCGCCATAGTAAGACAGGTTCTAAAGTATGCAAGTCCTGTATGGCCTCCGTTTTACGAAATACAGAAACTCAGCATAGAAAGGGTGCAAAAAAAATTTTCGAGAAATATAGCTTTCAGACTGGGAATTGAACATGACTCCATCAATTATAATAAAGTTTTATCACTTTTAAACTTGCAAACCCTTGAAAAACGTAGAGATCAGCGGGATCTGTGTATTCTGTATAAAATCGGTAATGGTATTATGCAGTCACCTGAGTTGTTATCTCTTATTGGCTTTCATGTGTTCAATCGTAATGTTATAAATTCTAGGCTTTTTCATGTACAACATCATCGGACCAACTATGGGTTCAATGCTCCAATATCCAGATTTTGTAGCCTAGCAAACAATGTTTCAACCAACATCGGCATTGATTTATTTGGAATAGGTCTTAATAGCTTCAAGGAGAAAATTAAATATATAGGAGAAGGAAACGCACTGTCTGTCCTAGCACCCCACCTGAACCTTCACTATTACCTTGTAAAAACTGCAATTTATTCACTCATATATCCTGCACGACCCCCATCACATGTGAAAAATGCAACCAAAATCACCTCACATCGAAATGTACATCTAATCTTCCAGCTAAATGTAGGTCCTGCGGATCCATTGACCATAAGGCCTGGTCCTTTAAATGCCCCAATCGCCCTACAAAACCTATCGAAGGAATCCCAAACGCAAAAATAAGACCTTTGAATAAGAAAACATTAGAAATTCAAACCATTAGAACAAACAACAGCAGAATCCATTCAGCAATAACCATTCTTGACTATATAATCAATGCCTATATAAACAAAATCAATAAGCCCAAAAACACAAATCGTGAAGAATTGCTACAGAAACTCAAAAATAGATTTATTAATGAATACAATATTGACACTTCAGCAGTGTTTTCGGGAAAAGGACTATACATTTTGATGTTTGACTTAGACCAACCAGATAGCGCATCACCAACTGAACCTCTACAAGGAGCAAACAATACGCAACACAATGTCTAGTAAAATTAAAGTATTATTATAAGAACATCAATGGCTACCCAAAAAAAATATATCAACTCCAGCATCCATGATGAGAGTATCGACTGCTTAATGCTAGTAGAGACCAAACACAAAATCTCAACAAACATAGTTTACCGTGACTTGGAAGTCAATAAGCAAAGTAGGATACCAAATAACCAACTACCCTAGAGGAGGAAGCCTAGTCCAAGCTCACCCGAAACCAAGGTTGAAAAATGAAAATCCCCCAAGAATAAATAACCCCTTGAACAAGTGCATACACTTCACTCTTCCATTCCAACAAGAAAAGCTACACATATTTCTTATTTACATTCATCCTACATCCAAAATAAAAGAAACTATATTCATAATAGCCATAAATATTCAATAATTGTTGGAGATTGGAATTTCAACCAAAGGAAGAAAAAACAACTTTAGGACTTCTTACACAATGGCAGCTTCACAAGAGCTCAGACGCCTCAGACTTTCCTGATGCAAAACAATGCTGACTCCAGTCCCGATGCAATTGTATACTCAAAAAATATAGAAGGATGTTTTGGGAGGAATGAAGTCATTCCTGACCTGGGATCGGACCACATGGGTTTCAAGATAGAATTTGACCTAGAACCAACAGAGGATAGAACAGTCAAATATAATTACAAATTTATTTATTTATTACAAAGTACCTGAAATTATTAAACAAAATACTCCGCTTATAAAAAATCAAAACTTTTCTTATCCTCTACCACCATTCATAGTCAGATTACTTAAGGAAAAAAGGAGAATGTTAAGGGAATACTATGTCAGGCCAGATGCAGAAATAAAAACCAAAATTACCAAATTTGGTAAAGATATCCAGGTGTTGATCTTCAAATACAAAAACAATTCGTGGCTTCAAACCCGCCAAAAGATAAATGAAGAACAAGGCAAAAATTTTTATTCAAAAATACGTAAATTGACATGCTACAAGGTCTCCTCGGTAGTTCCAGACTTGGAAGAAAATGGCATCACATATTCTACAGATCAAGAAAAAGTAAAAAAGTTCCACGATTACTATGAGCAACATTTCAATCAGAACGACCATCCTGAGTTTGACAAGGACAATAAGGTATTTATCAATAGATGGTACGAAGAATTTTTCAACGAACAACTAGAAATGAATCAGCCTAAAAAAGTACTTAACCCAAATGAATATTATAAAATAATTCATTCACAAAAAGAAAGCGCACCAAGATCAGAAAACATTCCGTGGACTGTGATAAAGCAGTTTGAAGTTGCAGTCCACGACTATATCATGAAAATTCTTGAATACTGTCTAAACAAAAAATGTTTTCAGGAGATATGGAAAAAAGGTATCATAATTATTATTATTATTATTTTTTTATTATTATTATGTTCTTGGCAATGGAAAGCGGCCTAAGACCGATGAGTCCATCGCTTTTGATTTTTCACTTTTAATTTTTTTGTTTTTGATACTTCTTTAAAAATAATGCACTTATGTGTTG